TTTCTCTTTCTTTCCTTCCCTCCCTCCCTCCCTCCCTCCCTCCTTTCTTTCTTTCTTTCTTTCTTTCTTTCTTTCTTTCTTTCTTTCTTTCTTTCTTTCTTTCTTTCTTTTTCTTTCCTTCTTTCTTTCTTCTTTCTTTCTTTCTTTCTTTCTTTCTTTCTTTCTTTCTTTCTTACTTTCTTTCTTTCTTCCTTTCTTTCTTTCTTTCTTTCTTTCCTTCCCTTTCTCTCCTTTCTTTTCCTTTTCTTTTTCTTTTCTTTTCTTTTTTCTTTTCTTTCTCACCCTCCCTTCTGTGTTTAACTGCATACATTTACTGGAAGAGGGCACAAATTCATCAAACTTGTTTTCAAAAACACATTATCTATTTCAGCAATCAAACCTGATGCATGAGTTTGTTAGCCACTTTAAATTTGAGTAGGAATTAATTGTCAAATAAAAGATTATGCATTACACTTATCACTCATTTATTTATTCATCATGTACATATGTACTTATTGAGTGAAAGCCCACTATGCAGAAAACATTTTTCTAGTCTTTGTGTTATCTTCAAGATAAATAGAAGAATCTTTTTATCCTCCAGCAACTTACGCTCTACGGTAGAAAACTACTTGAAAATTCAGGCTGTGTGTGACTGTACTTAGCCAGCTTCCCACAGGGATCTTTCATAGTGTTGCTCTCTCCATGGTAATTCATGAAACTGTGCCTACAGTACACAGTCTCTGTGGTCCTAAGTAGCTGCTGTGATGCAAACAACTTGCTAAACAAGGCAGGCAACCATACGTGCTATTACAGAGGTATTATCAGTGTGCTGTGGGAGTAATTAATTCTGACTTAAAGTTTGGAGGGTGGGAAAGGGTGGCAAGAGCTAAAATTGATGTAATGCGATTTAAAGTCAGGAAAGTTATTTGGTTTAAGTGAACTGTTAGGGCTATTGGACGTAAAAGATAGAAAATATTTATAGATCATTTCTAGTTCAATAAAATTATTGATCAGGAAACTGAAGTTCAGAGGGAGGAAGTGCCATTCCCTAAGTTATAGGAATAGTTAAATGCAGTACAGAATTCTGACATCATTTACTAGCAACTGTTTACTATTCGATATTATTTTCAATTCAGAATTTAGCTTTCCTTTTTTTCAACAAAACTCATCTTTTTTAAAAGAATCTCTTGATTACTAACATGGTCTTGGTCAAACATAAGGAAATTGTAAGGTGAAGTGTATGTAGTATGAAAAAACTTTTAGATAAAATGATATTTAAAAATCCACTTCAGGGAAAAATTATTAAAAAGAAAATTTTATGCAGATTTTCTTAACTATATGAACTTAACATTATAATTTTGTATTTTTTCTTCTCATGCTTAAAAATTAATTTAACCATAGCAGAAATAGCATGTGATAGCAATAACAAAGGGGATTATTCGAGTTATTTAGAGATTGTAATAATACATTTAAAAATTTTAAAAATCCTTTAAGTCTGCTGTGACAAAAAGAATTAGAGCTGGAAAAGTTGTCCTCAAGAAATATTAGCACATACATTAGGAGGCTTCAATTTGGTTGAGTTGCCGAATTCATCCCACCCGCTTCCTCCCCACATGGTGACTTTCTTGGGAAAAATGATTTCGTTTAAAACTATTTAGTTAAAACTGGAAAAAAATATATATCCGTAATACGAAACAGCATTTAAGTCATCTTTTCACTTAAAAAAAATGCAAGTTCTGAAACCTTCAGGTAAATAGTCATTGACTCTTGGGTTGACCTTTAGCTATGTCTGTAGGCATGGAGAACACTCATATTCTCTAGGAACACACACTTTAGGGTAAAATTTCATCAGCTCAATACAAATAATATACATGAACGTTGTATATCCATTTTTTTTTTTTTTAGTGTTCAAATAAATTACAAACCTCACTCATTAACTCATTCAGCAGGCATTTTTGAGCACCTACACTGACAATAAGCCCAGAATATGCAGTGGTGTACATGTAGGTGGGTTCTTAACTGTAATGTACTTGCATCCTTCCTTCATTTTCATCCATTTGTCTTAAATTCAGCTTCAGACCCTTAATAGTAACCAACGTCTGTATTGCAAAATTGTATTTTCTTTTCCTATTTTTCTTTTTTCTCACGTAGGAATCAAGTGTGACATACGGAGCCATAGAATTACAAATTATGTGACTAATGGCTCTTCTTTTGAGATTATCACTGACTCCAAACAAGAAAATTTTCATTCCTAATCTCAGCAATACACAGCAGGCAATGCTGCAGATAAAGGGAGCAACCAGGTTTGTGTTTTGCTTATTTATTTTTCACTGAATCTAAGCAATTTCATATTATTTTACCGCTTTGTCTACATATATCTTGCCCCATCTACAATATTACAGGCTTATAGAAAAGAAGACAATGTTTTATACCCAATAATTTGTATCTGCCCTGGCATGCAGTTGGACTTTATCTGTGAAACTGAATTGAAAATACCATTTGAAAGAAAAGTTAAATGGAAACACTTCTTAATCAAATAAATTCATATACTTAAAAAATTATCAGTCTGTCATTCAAATGATAGTCACTAACATGTTTGAAAGACTGCAGTTCTAATAGTGTGCTGAAAAGTCAGAGACATTATAAAAATATTAAATAAATAAAATATATTGTCAAATTGCTACAAACCCCAAATCTAATTTCATCTAGTTTATGAGATATTGGAATAACTTTGGAGCCAGATTAGCACCTTGTTTACTAAACCATTTCTATATTTCCAAAAGGACTCATTATTTTAAGGCATTTATGAAAAGGAAAAGAGATTATTTGTGTGAATAGTTATTTATTTTCCTATTGACAACAAAACTAAAGACAGTCAGAAAATATTAATGTCAGACGTAGTTGAAAAGTGAGATTATCATTACATTTTCCTCCCATATTTTAGGATTGTAAACTTTTCACTATTTGAGGTTTTGAGTATATGTTGTATCTATTATTCGAAAAAGTAACCGTGACTTAAAAACAGGCAAAATAACAACAAAATAAAAATAAGTGATTTCTTATAAGATTCCTTGGCATATTGTTTACTTACATATAACTTAGAGTTATTTATAAATAGTCTGAGAATACCATGTAAAAATACCATACAAAATGCAAAATGTAATGAAACGACTGTTAAATAAGACTTTTAATAGCTTAAGAGTACAACTGAAAAGATGTCAGTGATTTATCATATTTTTGAGTTTTATGGAACACTGAAGTACCTCATAATCTTATTCCAGGTTTCAAAGTTCCTAAATTTTAATCTAGGAGAGATACAGGAAGCATAAGCAATAATTCAGCAGATGGCACTGATGCCCTTAGGTCTAGAATCAAACCCAATCTAAAGATGTTGGTTTCACACCTAAGTATAGAAATAGCACTTAGATATCTGTAGAAACTATTTATCATAATAGCAGAATGGGCAGCAGATGTATTTGCAGTGGGGTGGTACAGTGGGATGAGCAAGCTAATATGATTCTCAGTAAAGAACCGACACAGTTAAATCTGTAAGTAACCCTGAGTCTAAGAGTGTTCCATACCACTATCATTGGCTTTTCTGCAAAGTCAGTAATTATCATTTTTGGAGAAACTCGTGGTTTAAAACTTTTAAAAATATGTTCATACTTTCAGAATCACACTTAGTCTTCTTTCTCCTGAGATATTTGACAAATACCCATTAAGGAAAAGCCATGTGAAATGGTGTTGAAAGGTGTTTCATGGAGGGCAAACATGTTTCCCTTTTTTTATATACTTGCTTTGGTGTAGAGTGCAATATGGGACAGAATCCCAATAATGCTTCTTTTTCATCATCAATCCTATGATACTAACTCAATTTCCCATCAAGTATATGAAAACTATAGAACGACCCTGGGGGATAAAAATCAGAATTAAGACTATTTTTAAAATGCATGTCTTGTCTTGCTAAAGCACAGTGGTTTCCTTTACCTTTCATAAATTGCATAAAGTTTTGAATTATTTGTTCAGAATCACAAAAATGTAAACTTTTCCTATTCAGTGTATCATAGTAAAACTGCTAATACACACAATTTGCCAATAGATTATGTTCTAAAAACAAATCAATAATGGTAAACTTTCAAAGTAAGTAAGCTTAGGAAAAGTAAATTTGATTTCTGTATCTTAATGCTGTACATTTTATTGAATGTTAATGGAATAGTTTCAGAAACAAGAGTTAAAAGCTGCACCTGTATTCCAACAAAATATCAATAGCTTTCATTCAAAATTTAAGTCGTCTAAATGTTTTGACTACACAACACCCAATACATTGGACAGACTGCAGGTCATAGTCAAGATTCATTTTGAAGAATAAGATGCATACTGTATCCTCCTCACTCAAGGAAAGAATAAATAGAGTTCAAAGGGTATCTATATAACTCACAATAGTGTTCCAGAGACTCACTTTGTCTGAGATCCTCCTCGACTGAAGAGATCCATATTTCTAACATTCAGAGATTGCTGCATGAATCCAAAAAGTAGTTGATCCACGACTTATGGAATATGTTATCAAGTACAAGGAAGGCATTATAACATGAGGGTCAAGAGCACATAGTCAAGTTCCTTAGTTTAAAGTCCTTGTTCTGCCATATAATAACTATTTGATCTTGGACAAGTTGCTTATCCACTATGCCTCCATTTCCTTAGTTGTTACGTGGAAATATTAATAGTACTTACCTCAGAGTAATGATATAAGAATTAAAGTTACTACTTATAAAATGTCTAAAATACTGCCTATACATAGAAATTGTTACATTAAATATGTTAAATAAAATACACTGGGAAAATGTATTGTAGCTTCCTCTTTAAGGTCATAATGCATAAATATATTAAAAGCTCCAGTCAAAAATAAATGATATGTCTTGGTAACAAACAACTCCAAAATATCAACAGCTTACAACAACAAACATTTAATTTTTACTCATGTATTATGTAGGATGATTTCAAATATTGGTTCTGACACTTACCAGCAATGCGACCTTGGGCAATTGACTTAAGTTTCTGCACATCAGGGTCCACATCCATACAATGAGAACAATAATAGTGCCAATGTACCAGAGGGTAGCTGTGAGGAATAGATATATTAGCATATGCAATATGCTAAACCCAATAACTGGGAGATGGTAAGCATACTCTACATGTTAACTTTATGATTTAAATTCTGTTTCTATCTTAAAAGCAAGGAAACCAATTCTCAAATGATGAGGTGATTTACACAAAGGTAACCCAGCTATCAAATCAAATGATGAATCAGAAACTCTCAGTCAGGTTGAACTAAATTAAATCCCCTTTGTACTGTTTTGTTTTACATTAATTACTGGGAAATTCTAATTGTTATAAATACCTACGATAGTGCTATCGAGAAATGTGATCAAGAATTTGTAAAGAAATAACTTTTTCCTAGCGTGTTATATTTTGGTGAGACATAGAACTTGCCACATTTATATGCACAGAGACAGAATGTGAGAGAGTATGAGATGGCAAAAAGTAACAATACTGGTCACCATCATTGTGATTTTATGTATTTCCCAGTTCTCATTAATGTCCCAGAGTAGAATAGGAGATGTGAACAGTAGGGAAGGAAACATTTATCGAATACTTGTTAGGCGTCTTGCACTATGCTGCACCACACCCTACACCTCACTTACTTCCCAGAACAGCAACCATGTAAAATAGGTTTCAGGGTCTACAAGTGTTATCCTGGATCATGGCAATATTATTCCTAGGCTGATACTTTTTGATGTTCTTTCTGTCACTAATTTCAGCTTGCACAATAGCATAAAGTGGAAAATACTATTTTCCACTTTGCTAATGTCCCATTTTCTAAGAAAGATCTCTCTTGATCAAACTATGGAAAAGAAGCTTCATCCTAGTCGTATCACTCATCACTCCTTGAAATTGTAATGTACATCGATAATCTGCATCCATCAACATTAATCAAAGCATCATAAATGCAAGGGAATTGTCTGTCTTGTTCACCGCTTAATTCCCAGTGTCTAGGATAGTGCCTGAATAAATGAATTCATCTGGGAATGTAAAATAGAATGAATGAGGCTAAGAGATTAAAGAAATTTATCCAAGCATTCACAGCTTGTGTGTTGTACAACTGGAATTTGCACTACAGATTTGAGTCCAAACCCGGTGGGCATCCCATTGTGCCAACTGTTTCTACCTTGCTTCAGCAGTTAGTCTCACTGTGGCTATGGAGAGCAGAACAATGTGGTATTAGGTTAAACCATATGGAATGCTTTTCTGAATTCAGTGACAGTAAGTCTATTGTGTGAAGTATACAAAAGAGCTACCCTGCTAACAGAAAGGATATTTTGTTATAGAAGAATCAGTAAGTTCAAAGGCCCATATGTCAGTGGAGAACACAGGTTATTCTAGAAACTGACAAAAGGCCAAAATGTTTGGAAATTAGCGAGTGACATGGGGAGGGTTTGAAATGAGATTGGAGAAGTAAGCAATGTATAGATTGTATATAGCCCTGTAGGTCATGCAAATAAATTCAAATTTTATTCTACATGCAATAGAGATTTACTGGAGATTGCTAAGTAGAAGAACTATATAATCTGATTTGAGTTTTTGCAAAGTCACTTTAGCCACCATGCAGAGAATGGACTAGGAATGGACAAAATCTAAGTACAATAAATGCATACACATATACACCTTCACACCCTATATGCTGCCTTTGAGGAATGTGTCAAATGTGGGAAGAGATTATTTTGCACAGGTCCAGAAACATAGCGACAGTGAAGTTTCTATCCAGATGATAGCATCCCAAACCTATGAACAGTAGAATATATTGTCTTCCCCCATCACTATTCAGATGCCTGCCCTCTGAAGTAGCAAAAATGATCTCACAAAAAATGGGATCCTAACCTATTGATAGCAACTATAAACCAAATATAATTTTATGTGCAAAATAGTCATTGTATAACAACCACCTATAAATTTCCTATTATCCAAAAGCATTTTATTCTCTATAGTATCCAGTTGCTAATACTTTCTTTCATTTTCTTTTTTATGACCATATGATTCTTCCATCCAAAACTCCTCACCAGCTCTCCATTTTCTACTATTTTCTAGAATGAAATTCAAACATTTGAAGTTCCTCTTGATCTGATCCCCATAACCTTCTCCATTCTTGACTTTATCAGCAATCCCTACTCATCTCTCTTTCTTTCTTTTCTCTTTCTCTTTCTCTCTCTCTCTCGTGTGCAAGCACACGCGCGCACACACACACACACACTGTACTGAGGCAGTAGTGAATATATTATCACATTCTATTATTTTTCCCATGGTGTAGTATCTTTTGAGAATTTTCATTTTTAAAATATTTGGTCTGACAAGCTTCTTTTCAACCTTCAAAGTCTTCCTCAGAAAGCTATCCGTGGTACTTCCTTAATGGGAGGCAGATATACTTTTAAAAAGTTCTATGCTCCCTGTGCATGGATATATCACTTTATTATTTATTGAATTATTATTTATTTATTACTAGAATTAGTTTTCTGTTGAGGGACTGCATTTCATTTGTTTTATGTTTAATGGGTATAATGTCATTGCACTCAAGATTGTTTAGTCGTTCAACAAATACATTCCAGGTTAAATTATACCTTTCATATATACAGATATTCCAAATATCTAACATGCGTGCAGAAATAAAGCAGATTATGTATAAACAGTAGAACCAAGGTAACTATTATTAGCCCTTTGTCAATTCCCAGTTACCAAAATGTACTGCAACTTCATAAAACAAAAGAAAATATAAATCCTCAGTGGAACTGAAAATATTCTTAGAAGTTCTAATATTTGTGTTTGTGGTTTTGGAAATCTACATATCTGGCATATATATTATAATGCAAAAAATAAAATGAAGTCAACTAAAAAGCTTTATTATTAAAAAAATAAAACTTATAAAGAACGTGTTAATGTATTGTGGATACCACCCTCTTTATTGTTCTCATTTAAGCACTTCAAAAATGATGTTTCCATTGGGGGCCACCACCACAATTTATAAGGGTTTTGGTCTTTATTCATTTATTCAATACGCTACTGAACTTTGAAATTTAAAAAAACTGTGAGATGGAACAAAACAATGCACTATTTATTATTTGACAAAGCAGTAACTATAAGACTGCTGTCAGTTCTGGCAAATGAGATCACACTTGTGAAGGTATATGGAATAGGTTTTTTAAAGTCTCTATTCATGATTTTGGTAATATGCAATACTTCCTGAACTCAGGACCACAGAAATGTGGAAATAGAATATGCATGCAATAAAGAAGAGGCCTCAGTGAATATGTTTTTTTGTTGTTGTTGTTGCTGAATATTATCATTTCTTTCTCAGAATCCTTTGCTTTCTTTCACAAGGACACTGGAATATCTGCAAATAACATACATGAAAATAGTGTTCTAATGAATTAATTACTTCAGGAAAAGGATCACAGACTTCAGCATAGTTATGTGAATTCCACTAGAGAGCAGATATTTGTGGGAAGTGTCCTTGTTTGACTTGTTCTCCTCTGTAAACACTGCATCTGAAACAGTGGAGCAAGCCAGGGAGAATCTCGGCATTTGTTGGACTAATGAATGATGCATTGAGTATGCAACTTAAATTTAAATGAAAGTGATAGTATTACTTTCAATGGTTACCACATTTGCTGCATTTTCCAATCTGGTTTTTTCTCTGAAAATATATAGACATATATTTCATTTTTTGTGAACTTTTCATGAATAAAATGTAGACACATTGTTCCCTCACCCCAAACGGTACAGTATGTATGTTCCACAAATAACACTTTCTTCAATAACTATTTTATAACCCTCCAGATCAGAAAATAAAAATTGGTACAGTATTACCATTTGAACCTAAGTTCCCATTCAAATTTTGTCAACAGATTTAATAATGAGAGCTTTATCTTGCTGGTTTTGGCTCTATCCAGAAAAGCAAGTTACATTAATTAATTGTTGCAACAGATTCTTTCATCCTGAATGAGCTCCTCAGTGTCTTTCTATCTTACGTGTCATGGACAAGTTTAAAGGGGACACGCCCTACATTCTGGAGGATGACCCTCAACATGGATCCATCTAATGCTACTTCATGTCCTGAGTAAGGTCATGCATTTTTGGCAGGAGTGAGTTCCACAGAAATGATGTGGCATATTTCTTAGTGCATCATCTCAGAAGACACATGATATAGACCAATCCTTCCCCTGGTGATTTTAGCTTTAACCACTTGGAGACACAGGGTCTACTGAGTTCTTACACCTTACAATCACCATTTTTCCATTTGAATTATTAGTATATTGTAGGGCAGTATTTCACAATCATGCCATAAATTTATTCCTCAGCAAACCACCACTAAATGGCTTTCATATCCACTGACAGTACCTGCTTTAACCAACCATTATCTCTGATGGCTGCCATGTAGCAATTCTCTTATTCCCATTATTCCTTTAAAATCCATTGGCATTCCATTGTAAATAGAAATTATATCTCTACATTTGTTTATTTTCGTATATATAATAGACTAAATATAATATGTAATGATTCTAATAACTCATTTATGATGGCAGTATAAAATGATGAGCTTCTATTTTATTCATTAGGGTTGCAATACATTGTTGCCGTTATTTATTTTAATGCCCAAATCATCCCATTCAAACTGGCTTCTATATACTTTTGACATGTCCCCAACATTCATTGAACATTGCCTTAATGTCAGGTGCAATAGAATGTGCAATCATGCTTTTCCTGCCGTTGTCCTGGAATCAGTCATTTCTCCAAGAAGCTCCGGCTCCTTTTAGTGAGGACAGCATTTAGAAACTAAGATTATGATCCTTGACATGCTCATTGTTATAGGGGTATCTTTGCTTCTAGGCCCTTTCAGTGGACAGAGCTTGGATATATATGTATATGAATGCATATACAACTATAAATGTTTGTTGAATAGGTATATTATAAAATCATGAGCCCATAGTGAAACCTCCAATTTCAATCCAATACCTCATGCTTATTTTCATTATTATATTTTCCTTGTCTATTAATAACTTATCTTGCTTT